AAATGTTGGTGGAGAGCGAGCTAGTGAATGTCATAAATTTGTGCTACGATTTTACTACTTGCCATTCAGTCGATGGAATCAGAATTAAAATGCCCGTCAAAATTGATATTGTGCTCTTGTGTTCTTGTGCTCAATCTCCCGTTTGCAGAACAGCATACGCGCACACACTCAAACTAAAACAAAAGCAAAGAAAATAACAAAAATAAAACAACGGCAACCGATTTTTTGCCCTTTCTGCACGAACTGTTCTGTGGCATCGGATTTGTTGTTATATTATTGTGATCGAAAAATTTCATTTGTTCGAAACACACAGCGATTGTGCACATAACCATCACTTTGATCAATTTTACTGCTGCCACAACGAATATATGCTCTCGTCATATCACACACGAAAAAAACGGTTTTCAATTGCGAAATAAAAGCACATCGACTGTGTATTGTTGAGAAATGTGGATGAAACCGATAAACATATCCGCTTATTTTGTATTCATCGCACAAATATCGATACATAAATCTAACTGTACGGATAGTCAATTGCAGGTTGCGTGTTGTACGTTGTGTTTGGATATGTTTTTTTTTATCTGGATTTCCGGAGAAAGAAAGCAAAAATTGTACATCAGCATGCAGCCTTTCTATACGTTTCATCTCTGTCGAGCAATTTTTGAAGAAAATCCTCAGAAAAATGTGCCAGCACAAACTGCAATAAACGTCAAAACTAGGGGCTTCCAAATCTGAACGAATATTTCATATAAATACGTATTACCACGTATAAACGCCGTATATTTTGTGCATATTTCACATATAACCCGCGTATACGCCATTTCGCATATAAACCAATTCGTATAAATAGAGATAAAAGCCCCTAGCATCAAAAACAATACAGAGCAAGAAAAAAAATCTCAATTTATAGATTTCTATTTATTTTTTTTTCAGTTGAGTTGCTTATCGACGACAGAAGAAACGAAGCGCTCATTGCACCATTTCATTATTTTATGGGCTTGCAGATTTTATTGCTGAGCTCAACATTTTTATTCTCAATTATTATTATTGTTTTAGTCGGCACTAGAATGCAAGTACATCATTTTTACTGCTGAGGATCTAGTGCTATACACGTTTTCTGATCAAATTCCATTTTCATGCTTTTGATGGCAAAAATGGCTGCCCTCGGTGAATTGGATTTTTCTCTCTTCATTCTGTTTCTTCTTCATGTCGTCGTTGTGCTCTTTTGAAAGAATTCAGTGGAGTTTTCAGTTTGCGAGAGGCAAACAAACCAATTCAAAAGCTTCATTTGGCTCGCGCAGAACTAAATATAATTGCCATTAAACGAACAAAGGATTCAACAAGCAGAAAAAAAAACAATGAAACAATTGATGAATACGTTCCAACCGTTGACCGTTTTCTTCAATTACATGCAACATTTAATGAAAAAGCGGTCTTTAATCATAATTTTTTTCTGCTCCATGTCCTTTTCCATTGATATAGCTATTGTTCTTGATTCCCATTTTTCGCGTTTCCCATCAACGGGTTTCGGGTTTGTATGTGGCAAAGTGTGTTAGGCACACTACTAACTATTTTCTTTTCGGTTGATTCCGAATGCAATAGCTTGCCTGCGATTTCGTTCCCCATATACACCATACACAACTAAATCCATGCTATTCCCAGCTCATGCTTTCTTTCTCGAAACATGAAGGGAGTGAATTTATATGCCGTTTCCTTTTTTCTGTCTCTTTCCAAGCCATTAAATTTTATTTCATTTCTAATCCTTGTAGTTGGAATACAAGCAATGCTATTGCTAGTGTTCCAATTACACGGTGCCGCCCGCTATTCTTCACTTATTTGCGCAAGACTACAGTTTCCGTCTTGCTTGATCCTGATGCAATGGTTTTTCGACCGTCATGAAAGAGAAATTCATTTAAATGTTCGCTTCAGCTCTTTCATTCACTTAAAATAATTGAATGCAAATGTTAAAGCTCGATAACACCATCGATCCCCCTCACGCATTACTTTATCGAAACGGTGTGTGTGGTACCGATCTCGCGCTCTTTCACGCACATAAACCCGGCCAAACACACACCGTACAAACATACATCACACTATATAAACGGAATTCGAAATTTCCGGATAATTTGAATTATTCCGTGAATTCTGATTTCAGTATGCAAAAACGTTGGAAGCGCCAAATAACGAGCATTCCATTATTGTTATTTTTCTCTTTGTTTCACATAGACTTCATGAACCCGCAAAGGAGCTCAATGCTAAAATTCGTTAGCAATCAACAAAACATGTTTCGCTTTTATGATGGTTAAAAGTTTGAATCGTTTATTGCTCGATAAAAAGACTGCGCATGAATTTATTGAGCTAAAAATATTCAACCATGGAAAAAAAAAATTGAAGCGAACATTTTCACTATCTAAAAGCTACTAAATTGAATCCATGTTTTTGTCATCATGAATTTCACGTTACTTTTTTTTTCTCAACTTTATTGATGCACCGCCAGAATAACGAGTGAAAAAAATATGCAACCGGTAACGATCTAAATAACGGTACAAAAACAGCGCACACAAACACAATTGAATGAATCCAATGAACAAATCTCAAATTGAAACAATGGCACATTGTCGACGAAACTAGCTAACAAATCTAAAAGCCGGAAATGGGAAAAACATGCCAATAAATTCGAATGTACGCAGAGGAAATTAAATGAATTGAAACTATTAATTAAGATTCAGAATCGAGATTCTGCTTTAACGCTTTTTGGCCAAGCTCAAATGCTAAATAGCAAAAAAATAGAGAAACAAACCAGTGTACAGTTTAATGTTGAGCTGCACAACACCAGATTAGAGACAACTGCAGACTAGATTTTTCACTTGAAATCATGCAAATGACATAATCATACTAAATGCTTTTCTGGTAATGAGAACCGTTTTATGCACATAAAAATGAATTGAATCGCGTATAAACTGGAGTGAACGCTAGCCATGGTTGCACAGCGCTATTATCAGTGTCATTAAAATTTAATAATTAACGGAGTTGCTTTATTATGAGGTTTATTCGACGAACGGCAGCCGTGCAGAGAGAAAGAGAGTGACTGGGAGCGACTGATTATCTGTTTTGCATGATGCTTTCTGCTTCGTCGCTCACACCAAATGTGTACGTTGTCATTCGGTGTGGCATGCTATAGCCATTGAACGCGGAACGTTATAAATTTTCTTCATGATGATTTTCACGGCTGTTCCGTTGCGTCTTCTCTCCCGAGTTGATGGCATTGACGTTTTTATTGCATTCCTTTCTATTTGGTCGATGAATAATGGTTTCAAAATTTCTTCGTCACTGAACCGAAATGATAAGACGGGAAATACATCGAAAGACGATGGGATATGCTAAGAGACTTATGAAAGAATATAACGAATGATTCGATGAATATATGGCATCAATGCATGATTGTAACTTTGTTCGCTTGTACACGTAGTTCAATTCAATTCCATTCATAGAAAAGAGACTCGTTCGATTAAATGGAAATGCGCCACATTTGTTAAGTAGGTCGCGTTCAATTTCTTAATCAACATTGTTGTTTCACAAGACATTGAATGCAACTTGAGCTCGCGTTCTCTTTTCGTTTTTTTTTTCTCCTTTCATTTTCTCATTACATTCTTTTTCTGTGGTACGGTTGTGTAATGATAAACGTTCTACTGTGTGCTTCCGTTTGACAATGAAATAAATGTGATGGTTTATCAAATCACTTCTGTATTCTCTTGTTAAGCTCTTCGTTTCGTCAAGAATCAAAAATTCCAAGGTGAATATTTCGGTAGATTTGAGTCGTCAAAGTAAGGGCGTACTAACGAAATGAACATATTACAAGTGTTTGACGAATAATGGGGCCCGTTCTGATAGAATCATAAGATAAAATATATTTGTGTGAAAATGTTTGCACCATCGATTCTTATTTTTTTTTTTTTATTAAAGCTACTCATTCATTCCAATAATTCAACATGGAAAAATAAAAAACCTTTTAACTTTTAAAGTGAAGAGACGAATCGAAGTGCTATTTCACTCCTATTGACTGGAGTACTTGATGCTCGTCAAGGAATCATAAACCCGGGATTTTAGAGCTTTTATAGCGAACAAAGAGTGTACTTGAATAATTTCAAATGAAGATGATTATATCTCCTTAGTATCAGTTGATATTAAATTGATAAAGCCATTATCTGGGCCATCGAAATAAAAATCAGGAGAATGTGAATATCATGATTATGACGTAGATTGTGCAACCATAAAATCGGTTAAAATACGATCGTGAAAAAAACACATCATACCATTTTTGATGGGGGAGTCGGAAAGGGAATACCATTGAATCATATTCGAGCATTCAAAAGGCAATGAAACTAAGTAATCGAATCTATACCATGTGCAGGATATTTATCCGAACTCAACATTGGTGCGCCGCCCATATTAATTTATACAAGGAATAAAAGTGAAGACATGTTTTCAAGCGCGCACATCAAAAATTGAAGAATAGTTGCGACAACGAGTTCTGGATTCTCGGCCATAGTTGCTGCTTATATTTCAAAATTGTTCTAATAAATCATTAATTTAATGGCAGACCCACAACCATAGGGGTATTACAACGACCGAAAAAACGCCTTGTGTTATACTTCTTTATGGATTCTACGTATTTGTACCGATTCAATTTCACCACAGCAAACCGCAACAAACTGACAGTTCTAGTCAGTTGTTTTAACCCATTAACTGCCAGCCAAATTTGAAGGTTTTTTTCAGACAGGGTTTTCAAGTTAAACATTTTATTAAATTAAATGTAAATAGGCATATAATGAAAGCTACAAAGTCAAGAAAATTTCTTCTTATCAAACCAATACCAAAATATGTTTTCATGAAAAGTTATGAGCTCAATTCGAAAAATTGACTGGTCAGATTTCCGATCAGCGGCAATTAATGGGTTATTCATCGTTCAACAAACAACTAGAGAAATAACTTTTTTTTTGTTCAATTTATTAATTTCAAATATTTCATCTGATTTCATCGGTTTATGAGAATATCTTAAACGTAATTAGAATAAATTTTTCTGGGCACTTGAGTTTTGATTTCGTTTTTTTTGTTTGCTTGTTTCGCTTGCAAGCGAAAATTCTTTTAACAAAAAAATGAAACTTGTTCGGAACTGGCACATTGTATCCGTTTCGATAATCTGTTGCCATTAATCCACGACAAGCAAATGAGGCTGGAGGTATTCGATAATCAAGTTGCTATACTTCTTTCGAGCCTCTTTTGCTGACACAAACTGTGAGCCATCATCATATTCGACCCAGTAGAGCAGCGTGGAGCCCACATTCGTCACATCTGGGATTGAAAAAGTAGAAAAAAACATAAACAAATTTATTAAAATTAAAAACATATGTTTGAATTTAACATACATGTAATTCTTCTTGCTTGTCCGACTGGTTGATTTTCAACTGGACTTGTGCTGTCAAAATCGACACGCCGACGCCAAACAATTCGCTCTTCCAAGAATGAAACCAGATGATCCGGCCAAAGAACAGCGACGCGATCGGCCGAAACCAGTTCAGTCTTCAATTCCGACTTCAGTTCGACCAAATAATGAATGTCGCTGTTTTGATTCTGTCCGGCGCCTGGAATTTAATATAAATGATTGGTTCGCTTGCAAGAGAAATTTCATTGTAAAAAAAACTCACTTAGAATGCGTGTCGCATTTTTCCGTTCAAACTCGGACAGGGCTTCTGCGCAGTCTACCAGATTTTCTTCCGGCTCCCATGAGTTGTGAGCATGTGAATATCCATCCCACTTTATCAAAAAATGCATCTTTCGGATGAAAAATCATATTGTCATGATTTGCATATTTTAAGGTTAGAGTGAACAAAATTCAATAAAAAAGCATTAAAAAAATCACTTACCTTTCCATTTTGATGACGTTTATTGATGATTTTCTGGACTTCGCAGATATCCATTTTTGATTTTGGTCTTTTTCGTTCTTTATTTTCAAAATATGATATCGATGATATTGATCTAGCTACTGCTTTTCGTCCAATGTTCTGCTTCGTTCAGCTTCGACTGTGGTGCGGAGAAATGTCACAGAGTAATGAAAAAAAAAATACCGGTTGAACCGCTAACTATGTGGTGGTGAATTTGAAGCTCAAATGTTGTTTGAATATATTTGAATGATTTGAAATTGTTTGAAATATTCAGTATTATTGTCCATAAAAATGAATTATTTTGTTCAATTGATGCCGATATTTTTTTTTATGAATCGTAGACGTTTCCTTCTTGGCGATATATGTTCCTTTTATTTGAATATAAGCGTCGATGATTGCACGAATTAAACAGATTTTGTGATCAGGTTGGTGATGAAAATCAGTTCCATTGAATAAATTGTCGATGTCTATTTCCTGAAGAATAGTATAATAGAGTACATTGAAGTTCACGTCACCTCTTATCAGCTCAATCCTTAAAAATCTCTCCACCTCTTTGCATATGTTATATGTGCTTATACAAGGACTACTGTATTCTGAATTGGACAAGATGCGATGTAATTTTTCCTCTTTTTTAAAGACATTTGCACACACGTCGCAATACATTCGATCGGGACGAGAGATGCGATTCTCTATTAGTTTGGCTATGTAGGCGGTGGAAATATCACTAATTTGAAAATCTATAAATGAACAATTTTCTTGCTGTTCGATTTCGGCCAACTTTCGATGTACCTTTTCTAGGTCTTCCGGTACTGGGACAAATTCTTCGTTCAATTCGGAAGATTTCAGAAATGCTCTCCGTGATGAAGAAATGTGTGAAATGGTACTAAATGGCTTTGACAAAAATTCATAATTGTAAACATTGGCTTTTTTGGAGGTGCAAACCGTATTATATACCAAAAGTTTGCGGTATGCGGACTGGAATTGTTCGCATGACGGATTCGTGTTCGCAATACCGAACGTGCGAATTTTACCAAAAAAAATTTCGAGCGGGTCTTGGCTTAGGTGGTATGTTGGTATCGATGTTAATAAACCCTTGTCTTCGATGTATTCTTCATAAATTGACATCAGGGAATACATGTTAACAATAAATCCTTTGAATCCAACTGATGATGTGGCCAAAGTTTTTACTTCCCCATCTTTGATGATCTTGTATTTTTTTATACTTTCAATGGCCGAATTGAAAAGAGCAAAAAATTTATTTTTATTTTCTTTGCATAACGGACGTTTCATTGGGTTTCGGTGTTGATCAGACTTTGAATTGAAGATATCAAATAAATCGTTGAACTGTCGTGTTAAGGTAATAGTTGGCTGGGCACCTCTGAAATCTTCAAATCCTTTATTGAGTAAAAATTCAATGGAATCTGCCGTCGATTTGCTAAAAACTTGTACGGCCAATTTTACGTTCATCCTTCGGTTTTGCCACTGAATATGATCCTTTGTCAATTTGTGCGTTAATCCAAATCCTTGTTTATTGTACTTTAAAAGCCGTTCATAGAATTTCCATTCAATTTTCTCGTCTTCACTATAAATCACTTCGTAAGTGCCAAGTACACCTCGCACGATTTTTTCCATGTGACAAGTGTCAAATAGTATTCTGATTTTTTCCCCGTTTGAAGCAATGAAATATGGTTGGAAATTGGGCGAAAAAATGTTCAAATTGGCTCCTAGTAACCGGCACATTTTTCGGTTTGAGCTTAACCCATCAAAACCTAGGCTTATAACCTTCACATTGATTGCGATTAAGGAATCAATAACTTTTGTAACTAAATCTAATCTCGGCTCTGCTTTCAATGATTTTATAAAATGATACGCAATTGGAAGCTGAATGCGTTCATTGATACCACTAACCATAAATACTATTGCTTGTGTGGCGGCTAACTCTTCGTCATCGCTTTTTTCGCAGAATTCCGATCCATATGTGGGATACCCGTACATTGTTCTACTGCTGTTACACCACTGAAACATTTTTCTTAAATGTATTTCGTCAAAGAGCACGGAAACAATCAATTCTTGCCCAGCAGTTTTCAGTTCTTCCGCTCTTCGTTTCAGAATGTCCAAACATTTTTCGCTGATACCGGGCTTACAATTCAAATCTGAGTTGGCGTACCAAGCCTTGATGGTAGATGTATGTGGTAGTTTGTATTTAAAATAAGTTCGTAATGATTCATACGCTCGAACGCTTAAGTGATGAATATTCAAGCAGAAATCACGAACAGCTTCAGGATATTTTTCTCTATGTCCAACACCATTCAGAAAGCAATGAATGAGTTGTCGCATTCTACCATCCTTAAATTCACAATTATGAAAAATCGGGAAAAATAATTTCGAAATTATCACTTACCAAAAAAATCGCTTGCAAGCGAAAGAATTTTTCAAAAAAAGATAATGGTAAAAACTTACTTGGATGAAGTCTGGTGAAGTTTTGGCCACTGACAACTCTTTTTCTAATTTTTTCATGTTTTCTTCATAATTTTTTTTTTCGACATTGAGAGCATTTTTCAAATTGGCTATTTCATTATATTGTTCATTGTTGACAATTGTCAGTCGCTCTATTTCATTTTTCAACTGGATTTGCTCCATTTCAAAACCGAGTTTTTGTTTCATCGATGCGTTATCTCCAGTGTTTGTATCATTGTTAGTAACATTTTCTTCGAGATCATCATCCACACTTTCCTCAATTGGGATGCAGTCCACCCAAAACTCTGTCGGAATGGTATTTACATCTAATTTAGCTCTGCCTTTCTTTTCAATTCGAATACACTCCGGAAGAAAGTGCTCAAAGCACACAAAACCAGTTGGGGGAGTATATTTGCCATTAGCTGAAGTAATGGCATCAATCCATTGTTTTTTCAGACGTTCATCGTGCGGAAACCTGATTGCGAACCGAAATAAAAATGCATTTCATATGAATTCTGTATTCACGATTCACGTGTGTGTTATGTGGCCAAAACGAACGGGCTAAACATTGAACAAAAATCATTTGCGCATATCGCTCAATATAGTATGCGGAACGACACTTATATTTATTAAAAATAAAAATTATTTTCCAAATAAAGGAATCGATTGCGTTTTTTATCGGTGTATTTTTACCTAAACATGTGTGTATTTTTATCTTCAGTTCCACGAACATTTTCGCAAGTTTCAACACAGCAAAATCTTCTTCGTGGCATGATGTCACGTATAAACAATATATTTTTTAATTAAATTGTAATTATTTCTTGTTTAAAAAAAAATAAAATGAGAAAATATCGTAAATCTCCGGAAAGTGCAACAGTAGCTCAAATATGGCTGACTCGAACAAAGTTTCGCATGAAATATGACGAAATACGTGTTCTAACGTATTCTGACTAACTGTCAATTACTATTGATTGTATAAATATGTCAAGATCCGCGAAATTCAAATTGTTTTTGAATAAGTGCGCCCATAAATTGAATTTAATAGTTTAAGCACGGCTTAATATCGAATAATTCAATTTTCGCTTGCAAGCGAAAAATACATATGTTCAAAAATTTGAACATAAGAGCAATTGAACTGATTTATACTGAGTAAATACGACTGATCGCTATTGAGAGATTCGAGTCAACAAAAAAACCATTAGTGATTATTTTAATCAACTATATTTTATTTAGGAATTATTATTATGAATAGAAAGAAATAGAAAAAATATTTGGTCGACAATTTTTTCATTGCCTTTGTTTATTTAAACATCATTTATATAATAACATTGACTTTGAATTATTTTTAAACAAAAATTTGTCTGGTCGTGTATTTTGTCATTAGTGATTTAATTGATTGACAAATGTCGAAATTCAAAAGATGTTCACTTCTGTTCAAGTTCGACGTCGTTTTCGACTGCTCTCATCATTGTCCTCAGTCTCAGTCTTTATAATGCGTCTTTTTGAACGACGTGGACGTGAAGCATTTTCTTCGATCATCGGCGTTTCCTAATAATGATACAAAACAATGAATATGGTTTACATTCAACAGCTATGTTATATATGCATATGTATATATTTTTTCGTTTACTTGTGCAGCAACCAACTGTTTTGCATCGGCTTTGTCTTCAACGGCCTCACTCTTACGATTTTCGTCAAGTGATTCATTAGTGGAATCTAATGAAGACGCGAGATCCCAAGAGGTTGCAGTTTCAGAAGACTCTAAAGAATGGAGCACCAAACCGATATTGTGGGCATAAACATCGTCTCCAGTATGCGATGGGTCTGCTTCCTCAATTTCGACCTCATTGATCAAGTCGTCATTGTTGAAGTGCTCGACCTCTCGTTGCTCCTCTTCGACAACCAAATATGGATTGCCATCGTCGTCGGTATGATGTTCGTTTTCCTGCCGTTGCTGCTCTTCGACAACAAAATATTGATTGCCATCGTCGTCGGTATGATGTTCGTTTACCTGCCGTTGCTCCTCTACGGGAACAAAATATTGATTGCCATCGTCGTCGGTACGATCTTCGTTTACTTGCAGTTGCTGCTCTTCGACAACAAAATGCTGATTGCCATCGTCGTCGGTACGATCTTCGTTTACCTGACCAAACGTTTGATCCATTCGGTATGGGTCTGGAACAATGCATTTAACAATTTTGTAACAACAACAGAGAACATTTTAGTGGCACCAAATTACTTACATTTGCTCGGTTCTTTGACAGTTTGCAGACGGCGATTTGGGTTCAAGACACGCTTATGTTTACGTTCATAGTGTATTCTCAAGTTTGTTTTATTTGCACAAGTTTGTTTGCACCGTGGGTACGGGCAGATATACCGATCCACCAGAGCATTGTGGAGGAGTTTGTGTCGATCAAGATCCCATTTCGAAACCACTTTGATTTTACATATGTCACACTGAAACTATTGAAATTGTGTTGCAGCAAGAGTTAGGAACATAAAATGATCCACACATTACCTCTATTGGATTTGGAGATTGATCGGAACCGTCAATTTGGGGGTCCACTGTATCAATCGTCTCTTGGTTGGGAATTGAATCCATTTTCATATGCAAACAAGTTTCACAAAACCGAGAATATCAAATGATATTAAAACAAAATGTGTTTGTTTTTTGTTTACATCAGTTTACACAATAAAGCCAAACTAAACCATTCAAAACTGACAGCCAAAAAGTGGTGAATAATAAGTACGAATTTCACCACGAACCGATTGGTTGACGTTTACAGAGAGCAATCACTTTCGTCCACTATGACTGACTATGACAGTGCACAAATCCATATGAAACATCGAATAGCACACGAATTCCGAAAAAAGAATTGTATAGTGACTAAAAATTTAAAAAAAATATCATATAAGAAAAACAAAGAAAACATCTGTGAAAATGGAATACCAAGACCAAATTGGTAAGTAAAATGTTAAATGAATACATGTTTTTTTTTCAATTCCAATTTTTCGCTTGCAAGCGAACCTGAACTCAATGATAGATAGTTTTAATCAATGTTTCAACCTGTTTTTAATTTATTTCAAATTTTTCGCATAGTGACACGCCGAAAAATGCGCATGATTCAATTGGCCGGCATGAATATCAATGCCCGGGTGGTGATCGATCGACGAACCGTTTACGACACAGTGGTTTTATTGCGACCAAAACCAGTTCGCCAGCCACGATTGCGACGGTATGCGTCTTTTCGAAGTCTCGGAACGCCGGATGATATTTCAGATTCAGAGTCGGTGGCGTCCGTTTCGTCTGTAGGAACTGTTGCTCGATCGGAACGCAACTTCGCAGTTCCAAAATCCATTCTCAAAAAGCCAAAAGATAAACCATTTACAATGATTGGTCTCAAAAGAACTCTGCGAAGCAAATCACTGCCGCAGCTGTCGCTGTCTTTGCCGCTGCAACCGTTGCCGACTGAAACTAATCTGACTGAACCAGTCGAATTGCCAAGTCAATCCATTGAAAAACCATCTGATGGAAACACAGACGGAGCCAAGGAGAAGACGGACGCGGAGAAGGAAAATATCCCACATGACCCCACGAAATAACTAGTTCAAATCATACTCACACTACCATTGCGCATACTCACCGAAATTTCATTGAAAATGACTGATTTTTTTTTAAATTATCGATGATAGTCTTAGCCAAATGACATTTTTTTCTTTGTAAAATAAGATAGAAGCACCAAAATCTGATTAGTGTTTCTTGAAGAAATTTCTTCTTTGTGATTTTTTCAGCGGTATTATTGCTTGCAAGCCAAAATTTATTATATGAATAAACATTTATCGCTCATAGTTGAGCTCTTGCGTTACATTATTTCAGAGACATTTCTTAAATAAATGCAAACGGTTTTTTGACCTTTGTCTTTCATTGGCTATATTTATTACAATTTTTTTTTCAAATAATTACAGTTTTCGATCAATTATCTTTTGTTACGTAGAAACCGATTCAATTTTAATAATCAGACAAAACAACTTGATTACTGAATATTTTCAAAAATGATCTTTTGTCCTTGGGTCAGAATGTTGGTACATTTAGAGTGAATAACAAGCCAGCCCAACTGCTTATTCACGAGCATATACCAGGGCGAAGTATTCTACACACACGACCAATGCCTTGAATCCGTATAGTACGGATTTGAATTCGGTGTATCACAACGACATATTGGGCTTCATTTTGTCAGTTCAGTGAGTCACATAAACGAATATTGCATTTCAATGGAGGACTAATTAAAATCAAACAGAGAAATGCAATCAATCTGATTCAATAATAATTCGCCCAGTAATTTTTGTCCGAATCGATTATGAGCAGTTGGATAGCCTTTATTGCGCCTGTCAAAACAACGACTGGAAACTGCAAATGACATTGACACATATAAAACTCACCACAGTGAAGCTCGATACATTAAACATTTCTATCTAAGCGGTTCAAACCAATTTCATGAACAAAAATATAAGAACACAACATTTAATAAATTCATGGGTGAAAAAAAAATGAAGCAGCCAACCAATATAATAACAAAAGACAATTTTACTAAGAATTCATTTTTCTTTTGTCAATTTGTTGATTTTTTCCAAAAAAATATTTATAGCATTCATCACAGATAGATGTATATAAGAAGCTTCAAGGGCACGACGTATGATGGCGTTTTTTCTGGTCAAAAAAGTTGCAATATCCCTTTGCCCACAACATTGTAATATATCATTTTGAGTACAGCATGCGCACTCTCTACAGCTTCAACCATGTCATCCAATAAATTTTGGAGTAAAGAATTAGTTAAACACGATCCAAGCCAAACAAAAAAAAAAGTACAACTCATTTCCAATGCTGAGATAAACCAACGAAAGCGATTTCGATTCCGCTTAGGAAATATGTTCAGTTCTCGCGCCAACAGTGACGCACACACACCCATCGTTGTCGCGTTGAAAAACGACAAACGCCGAACGAGTGAGCAGAAAAAAAGCACACACGAAGAATTCATTCGCTTACCCCAAACGAAAATGATATGATCACACATGGAAAACGAAAGATATACTCATGTTAGTGTCATCGATATGGTCATATACACAGCGCGACATTAAGCAGAGCATATTAATATTAGATTTTTGCCGAGCCGAAACAGTGTAGCGCAAACTCACTTACACATATGGGCAGTGTTCGTACAAATGGAGACATGGATTAAAATATGTAATTTGCAATGCATTCACAAATTGTCGTTGGCGTCGAATGTCGTCATAACATGACAAAAACACTGGCGAAAAACGGGAAATATCGTCGGAATGAGTGAACAAATACGAACGGACGCAGCACACACACAAACACACACATACATATGAGCCATCCGGCGAAGACTTAAAGCCAAGCTTGTAGCACATAAATAATAGCTAACGCTAAATCTGGTGGTAGTAACGACATTATGAAAAAATATATCTGATTTTGCCTTGCGAATTATGAAGAAAAATTGAGGGTACAGGAGCTTTTGAAAAAAAAAAGAACTGAACGGAACTAAATACGTAGATTCCATAATTCAATACATGACATTTCATACGGCCCGCTTAATAGGTCAACATATAAAGTTTAATTTTCACATTTACATCCCTCCACCTCATATTGTGCGCCTTGCATCGCCACCACTCACCGAATGTAGAACATTCGACGAAATTTTCATACACACACATACACAGGATGTTGCACCAACTGATTGTTTGCAACTGAATAGGATACTTAATTGAAAGAGTGTCTCTTCTATCGTTATATATGTATATGTGTTTTTTGTTGAGCATTTTGCCACTTTGAAACTTTATCTTTACAGTTTTCCGTATAGTAACTAACGAATTTGAGTGGTTACCAATCAATGAATTCTATCGTAGCCATAATGTGAATTTAGTTAAGTTCATGTGTTCAAGTGAATTTACACTTTGGATAACTAATTTTCAATGGAATTTTAGTTAGCAACCACATACACACAATTGCCACTAACATCTCTATGAACACCCTGTGTGTCTCACACAGAGATAGAAAGTCAACACAACATTGTTGTTTATGTGCGTACATGTTAGATTTTAGCATTAAACATGTACATTTTGTTCATTTCTGTTTTGGGCTGCGTTTGTTTGTTCATTCTCATTTACTTTTTTTTCGAACTGTTTGTGTTCTGATAACATGCAATTTTGTGTCCTTTTATTGTCCAGAGCACACGCTTCCAATGTGCGGCCATATCTTTTTCTCTTCGTTTTTCCTCAATACATGCAAAAATGGTAAACAGAAACCGTCCGCTCCAAATACATTAAATATATCAGGGCAGTAGCTTTGTCATCGTAATTTTTGTTATCCGGTCGGGAGAAACACGCAACACATTAAAACAAGCACAACTTCACCGTCATCATAATTTCCACGTACGAGGAAGTGTGTATGTGGTTGGATTGTATTTTGAGCTTAGAATACACCATTGATTATTGTGGTTTTTGGGTAGTTGGTTCTGGAACTGTACAGGAAGATGTTGAAATGCTGAAGCATCTATATAATACGATTCAATTTTCATTTCACCATAACAACCCGTTCTCTATTCGCATTGCGCTCATCATGTTACGCTTGGATTTTTCCATACGCGTCGGTCGAAACAATTTCGAACGAAATGATGATGGTTCGTTGGCTGGCTGGCTGGTTGCCTGCATCAAACGGTCAAGACTTAGTCAAATGTTACAGGCAACGGTTGTATGATTGTTTATTTACTTGTTCACCACATTTGAAAGCTCTTCATCATCCCCCGAGAGCGAGTACTGAACGTGAATATATAAAGTCTCTCATGTAACGAATTCCAGTGTGTACGCATGTTTCGGTTCAATTTGATTGAAGTGCGTATCACCACTAATTAAACCATTCATATTTTCATTTTATGGCCGGGCTGCAGCAACCTTACTACGGATATTATATACTTATGAATGTCAATCGTCGCGAGTTTTCAAATATTCTGAAAACCAAACAACAGCTTGTGGTATTTTTAGCTTATTTCGAATGAATGACGGATACAATTAAACCTGAACGGTTCAAATTTTGGCTTCGAAATAGAAATATAAAAGCGGTCGGCACAACTGTAGTACTACGAATAACCATGTAAATATAGATTTGCTATTGTGCTTTTGAACATACGAAAACGGACTCAACAATTCCATTCGAAGGCTCCAAAATCGTCAAGTTTTCAATAATCACTTCCAATTAGATCCAATTAGTTAATTCGCTTCGAATTTTGTGTCCACCTTCCGTCATGAAATAAACGACGATTTTCGTTGTCTATGCAAATATTCAAGTTTGGTTTGACATTTAATTCAGCTGCAAACTTTTCAATTGGGAGAGTATGGTTCCGTTGTTGAACAAGTCATATGTAGGAGATTTATATTTATAATGATTGTCGTTTGGTCATGTTTTCGAAAATGTCGCATATCGTACAGTTTGAACAGAATAATTTGTCGAAAATTGTGCATGTAAATGCGACGGAATCAGATAGCAAAAACATGGGAAAATACTTTATGCCCAAAAGAAATCTCCGCAAAAGCTATGAGAATTGACATCGAACAACCTGCAGTTGACATCGCATAGGTCCTCATCATTAGATCATCTACAACGAGTAGCTGCATTTTTCAAGTGGTTTAGCTTTTTCGACTGCAAACCAACATTCGGATTTAAGTTATGATAACGACAGATGTGTCATTGGAATTTCCATTAAAAGTCCAAACTATGTGGTTTAATCGGAACATTTTCATTGCTTATAGTCTGCCGAAAACAATTTCGAAAAAGAAAAAACGAAAAAACAAGTGGAAAAAACTTTATCCCGAACAATGGTTTCCTCCATTGTGTGAGAGCATTTTTCGCTTGAAAATCAGTAGTCGAACCATAACAACAATCAACTATTCAAAGTTCTCGACGATTGTTGTAAGTTGGCACCGAATGCGAGTGCATATAGCCTGGTTTGAGTTGCTTCTTCAGTGAATTTAGATTAAAATCGACTAAGAGACGAAGAGAGTTCCTAGTTGTTTCAATCATTCTGGTAATTGCAGTTGGCAAACAATCGACTGCATTTGGTTGTTAGGCTTAATAAACAAGGTGGATATCCGATTTTATCTACCGTTTTCATCGAGTTCTGTCGATGCTATAGCACCGTTCAGTTATAACCGAAGAAGACGTGCAGCTTGGTGCTACGTTGGTGTTGAAAATCACCACACCAATTTTGAATCAATAGCCGACAGTAAGTCTAAAACCTTTCATTACCGCTCTTGTATCACGTTTTCATTACTTTTGTCCATTCTTTCCGGCTGTTTATTGACAAACCAAACAAACGTACGTGAGCAATTTTATCCACGAATTTGTTGTATTCAACATAACAAGATCGTTTAACTGTACTGTTGAACTTAACAGTTTGTACGAACTATTCAGAAGATAAATTATACTGAGTGTGTGAGAAACATTTGGAACATTTACTATGTATCTCGCACGAATACATAATTTAAAATATTAATTGCGAGTCGCAAAAGAGTAACTGGTGCATTCTTTCAAATGAATGATAGTACCAAACGGCGGGTGGTTAGTGTCGACAGTGGGAAAGACAAATGGGACAGAAAATGTTGCACAACGTGAATGCATTGAAATTTATTCGCTGCTTCAAAATCGAACCATATTAAATGAAGCTGGTAATGTGCTTTTGTCGCAGTGGTTTTTAATTAAGTGCAGTGCACTGCACTTAGCATGCTATCACAATAAAAGTATTTTTACAGTGTTGAACACTTTGAAGATGAAACGAGAAAATAGCACTCGAATTCGTTTCCTGTTGAAAAACCTCAATAAATTCAGAATGGCCGAGAAAGAAAAAGTATCCTGTATATCCTAGTACATTATTCAACTTTATCGTTCTTGTATCCACTCTTCCGAAAGACTCGAATGGAATGGATCGTCTGATCCAATATTCTGTTTGTAATTTGACGCATTTTCATTTGACAAAAATCTTGGAATCTTCGGTAATTGACTAAAAGCAGTTGATTTTTGAATCACCGAAACGTCGCAATGAAGCTTTCAAAAAACGGTGTCTACAATTCAACGAGAAAAAAAACTTGTGACAAATTGGAACGAGACTCTCATTCAAATATTTCAAAAGCGACTAAATCGATTCTAATGAAGTGGAAAATGTGCTGCCAACGAAGCAACGACAAACATTCGTTTTTATAACAAAATCGAAATCAAGTAGCTTTCCAACACAAACATCGTGCACAGTGCACATACACACATACACAAGGCTTAAGCCCTAAACAGACGAAGTAGCAGGTATTTGGGATTCACTTTGCAAACTAAAGTAGAGTATTCGTGAAATATTGATGGGAATGGGGGAGAAAAAAAGAGCAAAAAAATGAATATCGCATGAATGGACGAGCTGTCGATAAAATCGGGGATATTTATGCTATTTTTAGTCATAAAAACTAAAGCCATTTTATACGTACTCAATATCTTATCGGCCGAATATATGAATTAGTTGCAATATATGTTAAAAGCAATGGACGACGGTTAAAGCGGTAGCATGGAAAGAACATAGCCGCTTGAAAATCATGGGCTGCCGGTAGTACAGTAAATAATTTTAAGTTTACGATGTGTTTTTAACGGATCGTAAAATGTTGTTTTTAAACTTAGCCAGCGTGCCAGTCGCTAGTCATTCCATCGATTCACAATTTTCTATTTTCGTCGTTGGCTATGTGTTGTGTTTCGGCTCCTCAAAGGCTCACTTGAATTCATTGGATATTATTAAAATCAACAAAAAAAGACTTTACACGCATAAAAACACCACACACACACACACACACACACACACTCCAAAAAACGCAACAACACACATACACAGCATCATTACAAAGTTGGCTTTAACAAGATCTTTAAATAGTTATGAGCGGTGAGCATTGAATTTAATTAAACCGTTAAAACCGACGTGCTCTCACATCAAAGTCATGTAGAAGAAATCATCAAAATGTTGTAACACACTCTCTCACACCACCTGAAGACTCTTTGGTTGCCTTGCTATATATAAAACCATAAATTTCGTGTTTGGCTATCTTTCGATGAGAACGCTCGTTTCAGCTAATGGAAGTTTTAATTCATCATTTAAAAATAGCAAACGTTAAACACATACACACAAACACAACAGAGTTTAACAAAAGTTATTCCCTATATCTATGTAGAATAATTTAAAAGTTTGCTCTCCACAAAAATGAGAGTGAAGCAGATGAAAAAAAGGAATAAATATTTTGAATGTTCGTGAGCCGTCGACGTGTACACGAGATTTGTAAATATTCACTTCAAGAGTGAATGAAAAAATGCACACACATCATCATCAAAAAAGCAAACATTCAGCAAACTATTTGCAAAGAACTTTGTGACGCTGTTGAACCTTGTGAAGCTGAAGAGTAAAGCAAAACAAAAAAAAAAGTTTGCACATTTCACATTCACAAGAATACTTTGTAGTCTCTGCACAGTGCACACACATGCTGATAAGGACGTTGCTTTTGGCAATTTTAAGTAGATATTTTTTTTTTTAGCAAATGTCAACTTTATTCCCGCTTTTTGGTTTTCAAATCTTCTTGCAATACTTTCGAAGCGCTTTTTTAGTACTGTTCGGTGGAAAATTGCATGAATGCAGAAATTATAATGATAGTATAAATATTACATGCAAATGGAACGGATTATGTAGTTTTGATTCCATTCACTTTAACTAAAGTAGAAATAAAAACATCATAAAGTAGTGAAGCAACATCAATAAACCGTAGTTATATATTAACTTACACTTTAGGTGTGCATGCGTAACATTTTATAAAAGATATCTATATACGGCAAGTAGCTCGAATTTTGAAATCGGCTGAATGCAGAAATAGAGCCAAAATTTTTCGATACAAATGAAAAGCAAGTCTTGCTTGATAAAGATTGAAGTAATATTTTTAAATGTAGCATCTAAATATGACCTGTGTAGAGTTGCATGAAATTCTTTCATACCCCTTCAATCCTTGGTTTCACTTGGTTTATTGAGAAATGTGGACGAGTTTTTGGCAGCAAATGGGTTTTCTATTGAATGGCGACAAATATAACCCAATTACTGTACAACTCCTCATTTACTTTATTGCCCGCATAACACAATCACCAACATTGCATCCGAATAAATAAATAAGTATTTGTTGTAGATAAGACCATGGGCATATTTCTGTTTTTATATATCCGTGTCATTTTAGTAACAAGCAATTAGCTCAAGTCATATACTCTTAGTTGCAAGAATTAATGCGATCTGTTTAAACAGCCAATTAATTATTATTATGTGTTGTGAATAGGAATAAATAAAAACTCAAGAAACAAGCTGTATGTAATGATTTCTTGTATTTTTCCCCTCCTTTTATATTGGACGCTCTTGTTCGTACACTTGTTTAGCTCCGTAAGCCCGTATCAACATTGTCGATTCCTGGCTCGATGAAAACACCTTGCACTGGGAATCGAGAACAATTATCAAACGTATGCAACGAAGAAGCCGGTATTGCATTAGTAGGAGTTCACTCCGAATATCCAAGGTAAGAAAAATTTAATTCAAATTTGATTGCCCGATTGCATTAGCAAATGGTAATGGCCGAGTTCGCAGTTATTGCAAATAAAAGGCAGAAAATCATTTGTTGTTTGGAATCAAAACGAATTCCAGAGTTGGCGTGCATTTTGAAAGTTAATTTAGAGATAATATTGAGATACATATCTGCCTTTATCACCTTCGGCATCATCACCATCCTTCCAATGGCAACAATACATTTTCACCGAGACGAGTAAATAGGGGTTTTAAAACCATTTTGTTGGAATTTAGTGCAAAAAGCTGGGCTCTGATGAAATAGCAGTGGCGCATACGACCGAATCGGAGCTAGTTCAAGTAGCAAGTAATCTCGAACAAAACCACAAAAATGTTACCACTTCGACGTAACAAACATCCCTCCATTGAATTGCTCTGTTTCGTTTTATTCCTCTTCTCAGATTTTCTATACTTTCGCTGTCATTTTAACCGAATTAACTGGCATAGTGATAACACTTGCCTATGTGAATCCCGGATAAAATATGTGACACAGTTCGGTTGTCTCTTGTTGGCATTTATTACAGTACACACCACAACGGAAACTTTCATCGAAACGTATCCATTCTCAGTGAGAATCAAAGCGTTGAAAAAAGACGACAAATGGGCTCTCTTTTATGTAGAATAGGTGGTAAAAAGTGCCAAATCTAGATATTTATGATGAGATTTTTACAACAGATAAGGAACTAAGGCGAAATCGAATTCAACGATCCGTGTTTGTAGTACTGGTTGCCTTTTTCTAAGCCATCTAAATTATTGCCTTAGATGTGGTTTACCAATTCACAAAATTCGTAACTGTCGAATTCCAAGTACATGAATTTGTGTAAATTTGTCAGGTTTATACCGGGAAAACGGATTTATTTCAATCCATTTATCTGGGTTGTCGGTGTTGTGTGCAGCCGTGTTTGGGATTCGTCTGTTTGGCATATCAATAGAATGGGAATTATTTATAAAAAACGAACGCATCGAAGACGACGACGACGACAGCAACAACAACAGCCATACGTATAATATATTATTGCCCTCTGTTGGCGCCCCGTTCAAATACACATTCTTCACGCATTGAGATATTCATCTTGATTTACAGTTGCAATCGATTTTCACCACAAACATTCCATATTGTCTCCAATAAGTCGCTGTGTTCATCATACCGGATGACGTTTGAAGTGGGACGGACATGGTCGATACGTTGTTTTCCGCATACGAAACCAACTAAGTTGATTGCAAATAAATAAAAATAAATGGCGTTGTTTTTTACGTAATTGCTTGAAGTTTGTGATTCAAAGTTTTCAATTCCATTTTCTGTAGCGCTTTTCTTGCTCCACACGCTCGTCCCTTCTCTCTGTGTGTTTGTATATAAATTTAAAGCTGCATCAACCACATTTATTGATTTGTTATCGGTTTTCTCTCTACCGTCAATTCAACGTTTGCTGCCAACATCATGCCTCTTTTGAGATACACTCCGGTTTTAATTAGTTTTTCCTTAGTGGAAGCAAATTAAAGACAAAAACATTTTACTCAGTGAAATTGAATTGCTCGGCTCGATTCGACTCGACTCATTTCTCTTTTTAGCGACACTCTTGTTTCATCCACCGCATTCAACACGAGCTCTTGCTCTTGTCTTTCTGCAAATTGAATGGCAGCTGTGATTTGGTGTTACAATTTTACTTAATGCTATGGGTTTCTTTTCGATTTTATCTGTAGGTACATGGAGGAGCGTGGTCATAGTGGTCACGGCGGCCTTATTAAACCACCAGGTGGATCAAATGCTAGTCATATATCAAAACATAAACCAAACGTTGGCTATCGCTTGGGCAGACGAAAAGCTTTATTTGAAAAACGAAAACGCATTAGCGACTATGCATTAGTGATGGGAATGTTTGGCATTATCGTGATGGTGATAGAAAATGAATTAAGCAGTGCTGGCGTATACACGAAAGTAAGTCAAGAATAATTTCATATTTTGGTTATTAATGATGTGGTAATTAAAATCAATTTAATCAAAGCCGAGTAAAATGAGAGATCACCAATAGCGGGTCAATGTAATGTATAGGCATTATGGTCCTTGGAGGACATGTCACACCAGCCGTTGGCCAATAAATTAATTGATGTAACCAAAATTGGTATATAGTAGTAATATATTCAGTATAAACTGGTTATCAACACACCGTATTCGTCGCAACATCAATTATGCTCTGTTTTTGGATGAAAACATTTGTTTTCTTGTAGCGTTCTTTCGATGCGGTTGTTATTTTTGTCGATGTAAAGTTCGACGTGCTTGACACCACAAAAAGCTGATTTGTACGTTGCTTGGCAGCAACCTTCGATTTGGAGCCCGCGTGTCTCTTTGTTGTGTGTCTTAATTCATTCCGCAAATTCCACCCTAATTAGTGTAGCTACTTTGAAGCCCTCTTCAAATGTAATGTCTTCATTCGCCATCAACTTTGAAAAATACTGTTAATTAAATGTGACCCCATTTTAATTAGGAAGAAAAACTCGAGCGAGAGTGAGATTCTTGTTCATCGCATGTCGATAGTATCGGTACACACTCAGTTGTCGTTTTCTATTTTTAGGCATCATTCTATTCAACAGCCTTAAAAACCTTGATTTCTGTATCGACTGTGATTCTTCTTGGATTGATTGTAGCCTATCATGCATTGGAAGTTCAGGTAAGAGTAAGTGGCGATTTAATCGCATTGTATTTTTGTGTTTGTCTATCACTCACTCGATAGGATGATCGTTAACGTAATTAACCACGTGCCCAAATTTTTTGTGTTTTGTCTTCCACTTCTTCGGTAAACCTGATTCGATTTCAATCATGTCCGGGGTGTCGCACAATTGAAATCACACACGGCAAAAATCGCAGCTATTCATGATAGACAATTGTGCGGACGACTGGCGAATAGCGATGACATGGCAACGAATAAGTCAAATAACACTAGAGTTAACTATCTGTGCTGTGCATCCCATACCGGGTCGTAAGTATTTCGGCAAACTCAACCCCCTCGCTCCGTGAACAACGCAAATTATCAATTCATTTGTGTGGTGCGCGTGCATTCTATGCGATTATTTCGCACCATTATTCAATTTACAGAATACTATTTCGAGTGGACAACCAAATTGGCAAACAAAAATAAGGCAATCGGTCGTGAAATTGTACCGTACGATGTGGCTTTATCGCTGCCAATGTTTCTACGATTGTACCTGATATGTCGTGTCATGTTGCTGCATTCGAAACTATTCACCGATGCATCGTCACGCAGTATAGGCGCTCTAAATCGTATCAACTTTAACACCAGGTAAGAGCGGCTTTACCACTCATTTCGAATCGTGGTTTTGGTTTCAAAAAAAAAAGCTGTTTGACTATCTGGTCCGACATTTGTTCGAGTTCCAAGTTTAGGACACGACTAAAATTATCGCGTGTGCATTTGTGTATGTGTTGTTTCCTTTTTCGTTCTATTCTCTCTGTAGATTTGTACTGAAAACATTGATGACAATTTGTCCGGGCACGGTGCTGCTCGTATTCATGGTTTCGCTGTGGATAATTGCATCGTGGACGTTGCGGCAATGCGAGCGGTAAGCACAATTTTCCCGTAAACTTAAATTTATACACCATTCCTCTCTAATCTAATCGATCAGCTCAAATTTAACGCGTTCTTTACATGCGTTGTTACCGTTTTCTTCTTTTTAGTTTGTTTTAGTTGTAACGTTTACGTTATTTTGATAGATTTTTCTCTTTTTCATTTTCAAAATTAATTATATTCATCAATTGTATACGTTATTCTTTCTGTTCATTTAGACGAAAAATAAAAACCAAAATTTCTTTCATTCGTACTTTAAAAATGCTTCAAAATACACATTTCATTCAAATGTCAGCATAAAAGGAGTCGAACATTTCACGAACACCGATTCATAAATATAGAAAAATCCGCTCTGGTTTCTTTTCATCGATCAATCTGGATTTGAATCGCATTTCTGACAGTCTGAAGTTTATCCATTTGCACATAAAATAAAATGCAAGCATTTAACCAACTATTAAACCCCCGCCGTTTTCAACTATCACAATTTGTTTTTGTTTTCCACATTTAATCGTGCGAATAGCGTAAAAATTGAATAATAATACACTAACTCCAACCAATTGAATGCACGACTCCAATCGATGTGCACGTAAAATGGGAATTAATTGCGTTGCGCTGCTAAATCTTTAATAACCACTATAATTAGCCCGGCATCAATGTTAGTTATTTAAAGCACTAAAAATAATGTTAATGATCCTGATTGCTTGCGTCATTGATTTCAGCTCACGTTTTTTTTTTTCTTCTTCTTTGTTTCATTATATCATGCGAAAAACCACCGCAATACTTCGACCTTTCTCTCGCACAACTAAATTCCATCAAATATGACGTCATCACCATGTTCTGTTTTCCCTTTCTGTCGCTAATCCATTTCAAAAGCTCTCCCATGCGCATTCAATCGAAATGTACATAATTCACTAATTTCGTTTTTAACGGATGAATGAATGAAAGAAACTAACGTTCAATACAGAAATCTCCACACCGATTCACCACCCTCAAATAAAAACTGATACGAGCGAGTATAGGAAATGGTTTTTTTTTTCTCTTTATTTTCTGTAGATGTATTTAGGAAATCTCTTTATTTACATTATACACATGGAAGACGATCTACGACAACAAAGTTTATGAAAATTTTCACACACACACTTACTTACTTACTTACATATACCATTCTGAAGTGCTCCTTCTTTTTTAGTTTCGTGTAATTTTCTTTTATTTCTTCAACCTTCAGATGGTTTTAGCTCGATTTCGTTTTCGTTTTTTGCCGAAAATTTACATCTATTTGTTGTGTGACTTTTTCGTATTTTATTTAATTCTCTCTGATATTCACCAATCTCTCTCGTGACCATTACAACTCCGAATTTGTGTTCGTTTTCGTTCCATCGTGTAGTTCCATGTGTTCATTGTTTAAGAATACATGGGTTGTTGTTTTTGAGTTTTCGTTTGATTCTGTGTTTATTCGCTTGCATGCAAAAGAACATTAACGACAGAAACAAAAGTTAAAGAGGGATAATTATTTCACCGTTGACCACCATACAATTCTCATGTGTGCGCACACACACAGAGACACGCACACTCACAACAATTATGTACATGAACACACGGAAACTGGATCCATAAATAAAAGTCCACACAAATTTGTGTCCATTAAATACACGTATAAAATTCCATTTGTTTTGCAGTAACTAACGTCCAAATCAGACGATTTTATTTATGATTATTCCATTCAATCGCAAGGATTTCGAATCACATTCATGATTTACAGCTAGAAAGCATCAAATTTGCATGCGCAACAATATTCTGAATAGTAAATGTGATTCCAAATCGCTGATTCGAATCATTTGTATTTTATCAGTTTTACTTTCATTCTTGATATTTATTTTGATTGAACTTTTAATGAAATCCAGTTGCCATGTGATCGATTTTCTGTTCGGAGGCTTATTTTCCATTGGTCAGTCATATGGATGAAATGATGTCATTCATTTGTGTGTTATTGTTGTTGTTTTTGTTGTTTCATTTGCATTTCGATGGAACACATATGCCATCTATTGATTACGATTTTGTCAATTTTGCACGGAATTCGGTTTCGATGAACTGTGAAAAAATTAAATTGCCCACAGAGCACAAATTCAGAATATACAATGTACCGACTATATATACGAATTAAATGAGCCCATATCCGTTATTTATTCAATTCAATTTTCCATTCGTTAAATCACTGTTAATTATTGCAATTGAATCGCAATTTATCACACAAAACGGAATACTTCATTAAGCTTCTGAAATATAACGATGGGATTTTCGGACCGAAATGCAAATTGCTTCCACTAAATTCTATTCCCATTCGTTTGGGCCAAATCAGTAATTGAATCAAACAGGTTTGCACTTCGATCAACAAAAAATGGCTTTTATTGCCTTTAATCAAGTCACATTTATCTCAATAATCCAACACTAATCTACCGAATGAGCTTATTTTGGCAGCATAACTGCTGACAAACCGCTCGAAATCAGTTTGTACAAGAATATGAAGCGAGGGGAGGGTGCAAAAAAATAACACATACCAAATTCCCTTCGTGCAAAGCCAACATCTGTTTATGTTGAAATGTGCGGAATATGTATTTGCCGGGGCGCAAGTGAATCCAAGAGCAAACCAATATTGATACGAAATCATTGCTACACGATGAAAACGTGTAATGAGTTAAGCAACAGCGATTTGCATTCATAATGACAGATGCTTTTGGGCATTTGGGCATATCGGATGTGGCCAGTACCAAAGTTAATAGGCTGTGAATTTCAATTCGAGGGAAAATGTGGTCAACCGACCGACTCAATAGTCAAAGCAGCAAATTAGCACACGCAAAAACGCAAAGCCACAGCACACATACATACACACACACATAGACTTATCTGCACATATAGCTTTTTACATGGAACGTCAAATGAATAAATTTGAATTTGAGCAAAATGTTCTTGTTCAATCTTGCGTGTGCCCTTCCGGATGAATACGAGGGAAATTTGAATTAAATTTTCATGATGCGATTCATTAAAACAAAAACCGACATTCGTCTATCACTTCGAAATCGGTCGGACCGAATTTGTGTTCCAAAATTGGCATCGATTGCATGTTACACATTCGTTTTTTTTTTCTTTTGTTATTTTCATTTTTTTTTCTTTGGGTTATTGTACCAAAAAGGCCATTCCATTGGTTTATTTCGTTTGGCATGTTGGACTTGATTTAAGGATTTTCCAGTGAATTTTGATTTAAATTTGAATTGAATAATAGCTTCCTCACAAAGACAAACACATACACACACATGCATACATACACCGCATATCATCTCCATCATGCCCGTAGCCATTTCTCTTATACTAGATTATGCACACATCGAAATCAATAAATCACAGCACGATACCATCAGACATGAAACTAGACAAAGTGACAAATATTGATGCATAGACATATGCAAAAACCAATGGAAAACTTCAATTAAAATATCATTAAATTATCATTTTGTGCTTTTTTATTAAGTTTCATTCGTAACATGAGACACTTTATTGAGATAAGAGAAAAACAACTACAACAAGGAATGTACATAGGTCGGACAAAGAATTGAATTCATTGCTTTTTATAACATCAACACCACAAACACATACAAACACCTATAGTACACTTTCGACATCAATAATCTAAATTCGTGAACCGATTGAAACAAGAGCGTTTGTAAGCAAGTGCAAGACAAAGCAGTAACATCTCAATTGTCATGATAAATAAATCAGGAACGCCTTTTTTTTCTATTGAAACAATATATGAAACAAAAAATAGAGCAACATAATCGAATAAGAAAATGATTTGATGTTATAATTTCGCTCATCGGCTTGTTATATTTCTACGCTTTTTTCGTTCATTTGATAAATCATTAATTTTTAGTTTCATTTTTTATATTCGTCTCTCGGTATTTTTGAGTTTTTTGTTTAGTTTTGTTGGTATCATTTTTTGGTTGAATCAATAGATTCTATTTTGGCCAATTATTATTAGTAAAACTAGTATTTCGATTGGATTCTTGTTCCAATTTACATTTCTGATGAATTATTTAGATTTTACATTTCTCTTTCTCTCAAAATCGTTAACTTTTTTATGTAGTGTAAATTAAGTCAATGCAAAAAGTGCCATATCCATATATGCTTATGCTTATGCATAATTGCAAACGTTGCGATTGAATGAACATATAAAAAGCAAAAGCCTTTTTTGCAAAAATTCGTTTAAATGAATTGCCACTCTCGTGCCCTTGCTTTGTTGAACTGTTTGTCTGCCGATCGGCAGTCGACCCAATTCGGTTTGCCATATATAACAAATGCGATATGGATACGAAACTTTTTGCATTTTGAATCATTTTTAGTTGTTTTTATCTCTCTTTCTCTCTATCTCTCTCGCAGTTTTTGTTCAAAATGAACATATAAAATTAATAACAATTTGAGCATCGAACTTTTTTTTCTAAAAACATTATCCTATTTACTGTGTATTTTCAATGTAATTGTTAAGCGTATTTCGGATGGTTTTAATTATCTGCTTTCCATGCATATCGATGGAATTCTCCATCGCCATAATGAGAACCTATATTTAAAAACAAATTCTTAATTTATGAAACAAAAATTACTCGATTTTATTTATTAGAACGATTTGAACACTTTTATTTGTGATTGTTGTTGATTTATTTCTTGAAACCGTTTTTTTTTAAGCGTAAATTGCTTTGTTTTGCTAATTCACATTATCAAATCCAGTAAAATGTTTGTGGAAGACTCGTTTTCGATCGAACTTACAGCACATTTTTTCAAGCGCTTTAAATCATATCGCAATTTTCGAAATTATTAATAATGAATAAAATGGAAATCGAACTTCAATGAAGAGCAATTTAACCCAAATTTCTACACAGTTTCATGCATCGATCGAATCAATCGATTTGTTTATTATTATGCAGTGGAGCATGCTTTTGCTGGGCATTA